AGCTCGTGTTAAAAAAAAAAAAAAAAAAAAAAACAAAACAAATCAAATCCAGTAGCTCTAAAACTCTTCTAATATCTATTGAGTTTTTTTTTTCTTTTGTTTAAAGGAAAGTGCGTATACATAAACTCAACTACAGCCTCTATAAATTAATACTCGATAAATTAATAATTTCTATAAATTAATAAATTTTTGATTCCAACTTGAATCGGTTCAAAATTTGACACAAATCGAGAAAATAATAAGATAATATTTTTTAGAAAATTATATGTAAATATATGGTCCCATAAAATTATAAATTAATAATTATATACATATTTTCTCTCAGTAAGAACATATCACTATATTGTTTATTTTTTATTCACAATAGCATTCTCTTTCTATTTTCTCAACACTTATTATATTTTTGATAAGATTTTGTAATATTATGCCTAAATCACATTTAGATTATATATGTTATATACACAAAATAATATAGTAAAATTGATATAAATGGCATTTTTAAAAAAATAATAATTAATAGTTATACACTAAAATAAAAAATTTTCGTATTTTAGAAAAAAATATTTTAAAATAAAAATCCATTGCCATATAAAAATTCATCGTGGACAATAGTTATCGTATCTCATATTACGATGTATCAATTTCCCTTATCAATTGCTGATAAGATGACATATCTTTTGAGGCGCATTTATCGTCCAAGTAAAGGCTTCAAGCTTAGTTATACTGCGCTCTGGTACCTTCTTCTCTTCCTCAGTCTTCAATAAGTTTCAACTACCTAATATCCAGATTTAACCGTGTATTGGCCACTCTTAGTGTAGTTCTAGCAGAACGAAACACGGCGATGAGTTGCGTTTATGGTCAAACTCCTAGTGAAAGGTATATCAGCAGGGGCTACATAATTCTCCAGTAGCCGGACATCCCTATCCTTTAATTTAATAAGATCATTGACTTTCATGTTCGGGTGTATTTCTGGGGCAGAAGGTTGAGCCGGCCTAGCTGGTGTAGTAAGGATCCAAAGATCCTCCCATATATTTACCTCATATTCAGAATTTCTGCCCGATTCTCAATAGAAGTAATTTTCTTGTCGCTGAGATACTGATACACACCTATGATGGGTGTTTTATATAGTTTGTTCGTAATGGCAAACTCATTCTATAATATCTTCCCCTCAAAACTCTGGCTACTAACGAATCAAGATATTTAACTAGTATCCATAGTTATTTCTCTAGTAGAGACGGGTCGAAATCATGGATCATACGAAAACGAATCCCACCCTCCTCTCTAGGTAAACAATTTTTGCCCCATTTTGTCCAGTGAATTCTTTTCTTTGGTGGATTTGAGCTCCACCAAAATTGTGCAATGGCATTTGCAAGGTTTTCACATATCTCTAGAGGAGCAAGAAGGTAGACATAACATATGTCGGAAGAGCTAGCAAAATAGATTTAATCAAAAATCCCTTCCCTCCTTTCGCGAGCCATCTACCCGTCCATCCATTCACTCTATGCATTAATTTATCCTTGAGAAATGAAAAAAGCTTACACTTAGAGCCGCTGATATCTTCTGGAATTCCAAGATATGTCCCCATTCCTCCTTCATTTTGGATCCCATGTGTATCCTTAATTTGTTGTCTCACATTTGCTCTGATCCTCTTTTCAAAGAGTAAAGAGGATTTTGCAAAGTTTATTCATTGACATGAAGCATGTTCATATTTCCTGACTAGTTTGATCCCTTCTTCACATTCACGGGCTCCATATTTGAGACGAAAATGCTATCATCAGCAAAGAGAAGGTGGGATATCGAGGGACACACGCGTGTAATGCGCATTTCCATTAATTTCCCTTGGTTATCTATATGATTAAGAAGGCTAAAGAACGCTTTCGTGCATAGAATAAAGATAAAAGGAGACAAAAGATCTCCTTGTCGTAAACCTCTCTCCGGAACAATGTTTCCCCTTGGTTGCCCATTCATAATCACCTTGTACTTAATCGAACTGATACATCACATTATCCAGGTAATTCATATTTCTGAGAAACCCATCTTCGGCAATACTGTTTCAATAAACGACCACTCCATCCCGTCATACTCTTTACTCATATCCATCTTTACAGCCATCCTTTTATTTCGTCCGCTTGGTTTTGTTCTCAGAGCATGAAATATTTCCTGGTCAATCATAACATTATCTGAAATTGGTCTCCCAACAACAAAGGCCGACGGGATTTCTAAGAATTTCTCTGGTAAAACTTTCTTTATTCATTGATCTAGGACCTTAGAGATTATCGTGTAGTTAACATTGCACAGGTTTATGGACCGGAACTGTGACATTTCATTAGGCTTAGCTGTCTTCGGAATAAGGCAAGCATTTGTATCATTCAATAGATTTGCCATTATCCCATCAAAAAGAAACTGAATAACCATATGAAAGTTTTGTTTTAGAGAACAATCCTTGTATAAATAAATAGGGAGATTTACTAAAATGACACATATTAATTGTGTTATTACTAGCTAGACTCATATTTTTCAAAAACAAATTAGAATATTTTTCTGGTCGCAATTGTCATTCTATAGTTATACAAAAAAAAAACATTACCAAAGTGACCTTAGAATTTGATCATTGGCAGATTCATTTTCAAAAAAATAAATCTACCGAATAGTAAGTCTGTTTAGAAAAAAAACTAACATTAAAGTGGTGTCAGACTTTCTTAGAATCGCCAGATTTGTTTCCACAACAGAGTTAAATTTCTGATTTGAATAGAACACATATTTTAAGGAATATGTCTGGCTAATGAAGTAGCCGATTAATTATAAATGGTAGATTTATGTGTTCTACTTTTTTTTATGTTGGATTTATTTTTTTATCGTCGAGTTACATATATTAATTAAATTTGTGGCAGACTTTATAATTTGTGAGGTGGCAGATTTTTTGACAAAAATTGGGTTTGTATAAACCCAACTTAATTGAATATCAAATTAACCTGGTTTACCTAACTTCAAATTCAGTTTATTTATAGTGTAATTAAGATCAGAATTAAGTATAATTTTTTGTAACTACATCATTTCTTTTTCTTTCTTCTTCTTTATCAAGTTGTCTCCTTTTAAGGTAGTTCAATCATTTGTTACAATCCTTAAAAGAAGTTCTATCATTTGTCTTATTGTTTGGATAACCATGAATCACATCGTATATTTGTATGTGGTGAGTGAAAATTTAAAAGAAAAAAATGGTTATTTGAAGTGAACAATGCGGGTGTTTTGATGACCATTTAGATGTGCATGATAATGACCATTTATATTTTATATGATAAGAACATACAACACAAATCACACGCGAAACTTGTATTTCAATGTTAACAAAATCTAATTATATAAAAGAGGGTATTCTTCCCTCATATTCATCCACGTCATCAATTCAATGAATTTGGTGTTGCCACGTGTTCTTCTTTTAGAAAACGCACCGTATCACTTAAGAATTTCATTCTCCATATGGGCTCTAAACCCGCAACACTCTTATCAAGACGCATCGTTGGATTTGAGTTTATTATTAAATAGAATTAATATTCATTTTTATAAAGTGATTAACAATAGTTAATTCCAACTTTGTTTTGTTTGGTTTTACTGATTTTCAAGAGCACAAACTAGCTTCGGGTACTAAGAAAATGTGAATAAGTTGGATTTAGAATTCTAATCTTGGTTTATAGTGTTGTCTTAATCTTTCTTTTTACCCTGTATGAAACTATCAAGCTTTCAGCATAAACCCACTCTGTCTAAATGGTCAAGGCAAAGAGCTTTGTCCCTTTTCAGGGCATAAGGAGTGATGTCGTTGGGAGACTCAAGTCCTACAACCATGATTGGATCAATGGCTTTTGCGCTGGATTTAGTTATGTTCATGCTCTTCTGGAGAAGTTCAAGGCCAAGGAGTGATTGAAGCATCAGCAATCTGCCAGCTCTTGCTTTAAACAAGACACATATGGGATTAGTGAACATTTGTCTTCTGTTACAAATGTTCTTAAGATTTTTTTTACTAACTTTTTGTTTTACATATGAAATAAAAGCTGAGATTCCATGTGAAATTGAAAAAAGTAAAACAATTTTTGATACAGTGCCGATAGGCTTTTAATAATGTCAATATCAGGAACTTGAGCATTTGAAAATGCATTAGAGTTCATTGTGCACCGTTGTTGTAGATGAGTATTAAAATTTGGAGCTTAATTTCCATCAAATTGTTCTCCGCCACTTGCTACTTTATAAGCCAATTAAGCTTCGATGGCAGATCATCCATCTGTTGCAGTCTTAGGATTCCAATGCGTTTTGAAACAACAAAAACAACATCACACTCGAGAAGAATAATCCAATTACTAATATTAACATGCTTGTTTGAGGTGAAAATGGTTTGAACAATATAAAGAGAGAGATGAGGGCGAACAAATACGTTTTTATTAGATCTGAACAAGGAGTTACAAAGAGATGAGTAAAGAGG